GGCCAGTGAACCAGAGGACTGGTCTCTATGTAAATTTCAGGACGTGGCAAAAGTACAGACCAGAACCAAATAAGGCAACATCCATGAGTTTACGTCAACTTGGGGTTTCGTTTGGATTCGTCCGTTTTATGGTGGAAGTTTAGAATTGTGAGATTTGCAGAGAAAGCAGGTGTCGATTGGGTTTGAACTTTTCTGTACGTCCATTTCACCCACTGAATTCATCTTATTCATCTACGACAAAGGAAACTTGGTTTGCCATTTTATTACCCCTTTAATTGATTTTTGTTTTGTCTTGTGGACCCCAGCGAGACTAGCTCGTCTCAATTTGGTGACTGCGCCGCCATTAAGATACCAAGGAAAACTTTCAAGAGGTCACCAGAGGTCAACCCCCCCATCCCCCTAAAATCAACATAATTTGGTGTCAATCATTCCAGCTACAGGTGAAAGGCTGTTTTTACTGATCTCTCTTTAAAATTATTCACCAAAGTTCAAAGGACAAAATGTTGATCAGCCTAAGGTAATTTAGCTGAAGTAGAGATCATTTTGTCAGGATGAAGGCGGCCATCTTCAGGTCCCAGGTTAAATGAGCCGAGGTCAGTGGTTAGACAGGAGCTTCTGGGCAGCTTGTGACGACACAGTGAAACGCGTCATCTTCCCAGAACCGGGCCGGATGAGTGGACCCGGATGGGCGAACTGGTCATAGTAACAGAGCCAGGCAGTAACAGGAAGTGGATTCCCGTTTGCAAGGGGCTTACCAAAATAAAAGTCTAAAGAAACGGTTCTCAAACCTTTCTTGATAGTTTTCACACCCTTTTAACATTTTATATTAATTTTAACTTTTTTTAATGGAGTGAAAAATTACAATGTTCCATTAGTATTTATCTTTTTTATTGGTTCTTTATTCAGTTTGCTGAGCTTGCCTCCCCTTTGGCTTTGTGCTCCAGTCCTCTCCTTCTTTTCTCTGTAGAAAAAAAGATTCAAACTAATGCAGACGCCCCTGATGTGTCCTTACTTCCCGTCTGTGACCTCTGACCCCTATAGCTGAGCTGTAGAGATGACAACCTTCCCCCCTTACTTCCAGCTTTGTAAATTGCCAGGATCATTGTTGCTGCGGTTCGTTTAAGCCCGTGTGTGTCTGATGAAGCATCAACCAAACCTTGAGGCTGCGTGTGATGGAAGTTCTGCATTTTCTATTACATGCAAATAAACAGCAAATGAGACTAATGAGAGGCCGTCTGTCTGCGACCACACCCATCCCGGCCACACGGCGGCCCTCTGCCTCCTTATTTGGTCAGGCTCCCAGCTCGGCTGCTGATTGGCTCACGGGTTGTATAGGGACCCGCACACCTGTGCAGGCTTGCTCTCACCCACCTTGCATCTCCTCTGCAGAGCAGACGGGCTCAGGCATGAAGACACTGTTGCTTCACAGATAACCATTAATGCTCCAGTCATGCTGCTATGTTTGAATCTTAGGTCTTTTAAAATGATACCAAAGCATCCTTCAGTGCATGTCTAGTGTTAGTGTGTTTGTGAAACCGTAGCAAACCGTGACCTTGAGGCGCTCGGATCCCTTTGAATCCAGCTGCACAGCAGTCAGACATGACATTCCAGGCCTCCTGCGTATAAAGTCACATTCAGCATGTGGAGGAAGGAGCTTATCAGTTGTTTCAGGAAGCTGGTCAATTATCACACAGAGAAATGTGGGTTTGGGTTTGTACAACCGCCCCCCCCCAAAGGACAAAGTCAATTTGGTGAAATTAAACTGACAAACTGACCGGCTGGGACGGTCCACTTCAGCGGGTCCGACATTTTAAAGAGTTCAACCAAAAAAGGAAAGAAAGCGCTGCTAATGATGCTCAGCGCTGGGGAAAGAAAATGACAAACACTGACCTCTAGTGGACACAGAGAGAACATCAGGCTGTTATTCCATTGGTTTATTGAACAGACAAGTTTTCCATCTAACAGCTGCAGAGGCTTTTAGATCAGACTGATATCGATATCGTCTTTTATTCATTGCTCTTCCTCCGCTGCAGCTTCAAATTCAGACAAAATGGATCTGGAAGAGAAGGAGAGAAAGAACCAGAGGCAATGTGTTTGAAAAAGGGGCTTCAATGCTAATAGTTCACAGAAGAACGTTTATGTGAAAGCTGAAATCTAATTTAGGTTTTAAAATCAGACAGACATTTATTTAAAGGTCAGAGCAGCTTCTTCCACAGAACATCTAAAGTAGTGCAGAATAAAATAATTAATATTATGGAAATAACTGTATATAAATAGTGACGGTTCCAAACTATATAAATATTTAATTCTGGGCTTAATTTCAGAAAGATTCTCCATCAAGATGTAAGCAGAGACTCTAAGCAGTTCTATCTTCTTTGTTCAGAGTTTTTTAACTGGATAACTTAACTCAGCATCTAATTAACTCTTACGCCGTTTCGCAATATATGTACTTGTGCGTTCTTGTGTGCTTGTGAAACGTCATCATCCTCAGCCCTAGCAATGTTCCAATTCACAACAACAGCAGACAGAGAACGGAGAAAGTCCCCGAATGTTGTTCTCGCCCCTCCCTCTTTACCCAGCATGCATCAGAGCAGACTGGTCCGTTCTTAAGATTGACAGCGTAAGTTTATATGAGGTGGGCTATGGCAGGCCGTTTTTACATTTATTAAACTAGGACTTAGGACTTTCCTTTCTGCTGTTCCATTTATAGATCACTAAAATAAGATTCTACCTGAAGTTCATAGAATGTTGCTATGGTAACAGAAACAGGTTGAGGAAACTCTCTTTGTATAAACGGAAAAGTCAGTTTCAGGTTTAGAAAACTTTAGAGGGTTCAGTAAACCTACTTTGTGAGACGGACCCCAGCTGACTTAGCCTGATAAACCAGACTAAATGGGAGATTAAACGTGTAATTTATAGTCTGGCCCCGATGAATGAGACATCGGAAGATTGTTGATGAGAACAACCCGTAGTTTTCAAACCATATATGTGCCTATTGGCCAACGCTCTGACCAATGAGCGCAACCGACTGTGACGTAGGAAGCACGACAGGAAGCTAGTGGGGGAGTGGAAACAAACAGCCTGTCAGTAAAACGGCGAATACGTCCTTCTAAAAAATGAATGAGCGTAGAGCCTCTTCCTGCTGACGTTTAAGCGAAAACCCCAAGTCTAATCCTTCCTAAACTGATTCCAAAGCTGAGTCAAAAATCGCCATCAGAGCCAGAGGTCCTTCACACACGACTATGCCGAGAGAGGGCTGCTGCAGACGGACTGCGGTTAGCCTTGTCTGCCGTTAGCCTCGGAGGTCCGCTGGTTGCAGTGGTCCGCTAAACTTTTGAAATCTTTTTTTTTTTTAAATCCGCAATAAATCGGTAAATGGACCATATAGTGACACTATAAAGTATAATATTCTCACCTTGAAATGATCTTAAAACGTACTTTTTTTAAACAACCAGCGACAGAAAAGAGAACTTAACTTTCAATGGAGCGCTGCATTGAAAGCTGCTGCTGCCGCAGTTCATGCTACTGTGTCATGCAGCTTTGTCGTCACGCCCTCAAAACCCCGTCTGCTTTGCATCCAGACATTCAAAACACATCTCTGCGTTGTGATTGGCCCGCCAGATTTAGGGCCTGGGGAACTGATCGAGGCTAGAGTAACTCGCAGGCAGAAATGATTTTGGCCGCTGGGGGCTGGGGCTAGTTTATTAGGCTACAGCTGGCTAACAGTAGGAAAGGAGAGAGTGTGAGTGCGCCATCTACAGGCCAAAGAGAGTTAGGCTTGGAGCCAACAAATGGCTGCTCTGGTTCAGACTGACTCTGAAGCAGAAATCGCTTTTAAATGTCAGAGAAAGATAAATACGACTAATCTCAGTGTTAGCTAATAATTCAGCATCAGATGCTTTGCTCAGAGTATTATTGCCAACCTTCTTCTAACTTTAAACTACTGTAAAGACTAAAGGCTAAAAGTTCACTTCCCACTCGCTGATTCCAGGTTTTGCAGGATAAGAGCCCCTCTCCCCGCCTCACCTCTGCTCCTCGGTCAGCTCCAACTCGGCCAGCGCTCGCTTTGCCAGTCCTGGTGTGGCTGGCAGACAGAAGGCTGCGGACAGCTGGACCAGCTCCACGGCTCTGTGAGGAGCACCGCTGCTTTGACACGCCGACAGGAAGCTGTTCATCAGGGCCTCGCTGCAGAGCAACGCAGGATTTATTTTCTATTGGTTGCTTTAAATGCTTCAGAAGGCAGCTAGTGTGTGTTTAAACTTACGAAGGAACTCGGTTCTGGGCCTTGAAGAGCTGCAGCATCTCCCTGGAAAGTATGGAGAGCAATGTGTTCATTTAATGGATAAAAAAGGTTTGAAAAATTATTTATTGTGTTTGTTAAAATCCAACCAGCATTTGTTCAGTTTGCAATTTTGCCACATTTTATTTTCCAGAATTTTTTTTACTTAAAATGTTAAATTTTTTTAATTTGATTTTCAGATATTTATTTCTGGTGATACTAAGTTTTATAAAAATATTTTTTTTCCCCAAATCCTTTTACAGATTTTACCCTCTAAACTAGTGCAGGCTCTCTGCACGGACTGATAGAAACGAGTCTTCTCTACGTGGACGTTAGCAACTGCATTTTTATCAGTAACTGTGGATGAAAATTTGTTCAAAATGCTTTAAAAAAAAAAAAAAAAAATTTGAAGAAAATATGTTTCAAAAAAACAACTTCTGAATAGAAAAAAGGTTTGGAGAGAAATTCATAAGATTTATTAAAAAAAAATGATCCAATATTTTTTTTCTTCCATTGATTATTTTCAAACTTTCCGTTTTTTTCATTCAAATTTTTAAAGTTCTGATATGTTTAACATTTAAAATGATTTGTTTTGGAACCACAGTTTTACTAATTGAAATCTTTCTGAAACCTGTTAATCAGATTCTCCATCTTTATTTCTATTGGTCTGTATGCAGACCAATAGAAATACTGTTGCTAACGTCTGAGCAGAGCAGACTTCTTTCTATTGGTTATCGGTTCACAGGCCACCCGAGTACAAGGGTAAAATCTGTAAATTTGATAAGAATTCAATTTAGTGTCCAAAACAAATAAATAAATAAATAAAATCTGAAAAAAAAAATGAAAAAAAAAACAAACAAAATTTGTTAAACATAAAAAATTAGCAAACCAAACCTTTTAATTAAACTTTTGCCTGCACATATAAATTACTCTCAATCTTTTTTTCTATTGAGACATTTTTTTGTTCCATCTCTGAAAAGCATTTTGTTCAGATTTCCTTTTTATGACACGTTCTTTGCATTTAATAATATTGGAATAGATTTCTCTCCATAGAAGGGACCACAGTAGAGCAGGAGTTCAGGAATCATTTAACAGACAGATTCTTCGTAGCTTTCTTCAAATATAACCACAGGCAAGGGCGAAGGTTTGAGTTCAACTCTGGTTTGATTTCACTATTGGTCTGATGTCGTTGGTCCGATGCAAAAATATGAATGCTCGCTTTTTTATGCTTGACAGGAAAATCAGGGTGTATTTCATTTAAAGAGAAAAGCAGCATTTCTTGCTACATTTATACAAATCTTATAAGCACTATATACACTAGATGCTGTTTATCAATGTACGAATCTTAACTGGTTCTGATGAATGAGGAAATAGGACTTTTTTCCACTTTGAGAAGATTTGCATTTGAAATTACCAGCGACAAAGTAATGTATGTAGGTAAATGTAGGTAAATTGGTGCCTATTTAACAGAATATAGTCTAAATATATGTGCTATATGTGGATTTATACTTTTTTTATTTTGAAGATATAGAATTGTGCAGAGATAAATAGAGGTAAAACCCACTCTTTTAAATGTTCTCTTTATATCATGAAACAAAGCGAAATAATCGATTCAAGGGACGCCACATAAATGTATTGTATTTACATGTGCCCTGGAACTAGAAGAGGAACTGACGCTGAGCATTTAATATATTAACCTCACTCTACAAGTTGTACATCTAGGCTGTAGTTACTCTGTTTAACCCATTTCATGTATTTTATTTAGGGCTGAAACAATTCATTGGATTAATCAATAATTGAAATGATGTCAACAAATTTAGTAATCAATTAATCATTAACTGGAGTAAAGAGACTCTACAACATGTCTTTAGCTCACAGAGCGACCCACTTAGAGCTGGAATTAAACAAAAATTGTAAAAAAAAATGTATAAAAATGTAGTATTTTAGATAAAACATGTTTTTTCGTCTGTCAATATTCTCCATCCAGAACTCCTCTACTGCTGCAACAACGCTGTATTGTAAATTATAAACTTGTTGGTAGGGACAAGAAGGTCGGTCCAAAATTCTGGTAGGGACATGTCCCTATGGTCCCTATGCAGACCTACGCCCATGACCACAGGATTCAGTGAGATGAAGTGAGTGAAGAAGCAGAATCCAAACGGACATCAGAGCAGTTTCTACTCTTCTAGTTTCCTGCATCGGTGAGAATTTAAGGAGGATGGACGTGTCTCACCAGGCCTGTTGCAGCTTGTTGGCTCGCAGCATCAGGGTGGTGATGTGTGACAGCGAGGGCGTGGTCCACTCCATGCTGGACCTGCCATCGAACGCACTCTTCACATCCAGAGCGCACTGAGCGAAAGACTCCTGGACCTGGAGAAACGCGGAGACGGGTCAGGAACAAACAGCCAGAGAGCGACATGGACGGGAAGGAAACGCACCTCAGCGCTGTGCTCGTCTCGGGCCATGAGACTCAGCAGCTCCCCCACCAGGTCCACCTTGTTATCGTGACCAAGAGTCTTTATATCTGCAGAGAAAAACTGAAAATGCAACAGATTTCCAGCTTTAAGAAAGAGTCCAGAGCTGCTGGGCTGTTCCTTACCTTTCCATATGGCGGGCAGCAGGTCCAGGCGGCTGTCTGTGTCCAGAGCCTGGAGCAGGTCCCGCATCCCCTGAGGGTTGGGGTAGTACAACTGCAACACCAAGAGAAGGAAGATGGAGTCAGTTTCCATCCATTATTGTTCAAAGCAAGAACACGTTCAGTAAAAGGAACTGAATAAAATGCAATATAGAAATGAAACTAATGAGAATAACTTTGCTGTTTTCTCCGATTTAGTTTTTTTATTTTCCATTATTTATTTTTCAGTTTAATATTTCTGATTCTCTTTTTGTTCCTCTGGAGTGAGGAGTGATGCGGCATTTCTGTTGGTCTACATGAACGACACTAACGTCTGTGGATGGCGAGCGTTTGGACTGGGCTGGAAGTGAGGAGAAACTTTTTGAAAAGAAAAAGATCCTTAAAACTCAACCTGAAATTTGAAAAAAAAAACAAAACATGAAATATGTCCAATCTGTGAAAAAAAGCAGAAAAAAATTGAAATAAAATCTGAGAAAAAAGCAAAGTTCCTCTAAAAAACCTTTTTTTAATAAAATCGTTTATGAAGGTTTTATTTCTAGACTGCGGTGTTTCCAATAGTAACGGATCGGAGATTCCGATGTGCACTGACCGAGGGGATGATCCGGGCGTACCACCTCAGCACCACGTCCACGTGCTCCATCATGCACAGCAGGTTGAAGAAGCGGCCGCTGTGGAGGAAACAGAGGAGGGTTATAGAGAGGTGGGACAGATCAGGCAGAACCAGAGGAGAACGTCTGACTTACTAATAAATGCTCTGTTGGTAGGAGTCTCCCAGCAGCCTCCAGTTCTCGCCCACTTCTACCAGTTGGTGGACTTTGTAGCCCAGCTCCAGATCTTTACTGTCCAGACACTTGGAAGGAAAACACAAGCAGCTGAACATCGGATGGATCAGATCTACTCTACAGAACCAGAACCAAACATGGAAGAGCAGCTTTCACATCTAACACCCCAATAATGTGGAATAAACTCCCAAAAACTGGAAAAGAGCTGAAAGCCTGACTTTAAATCCAGATTAAAAACATATTGGTGTAGAGCGGCCTTTGACTAGGCCATCTAAACATTGTTATTTATACACTGCTCAAAAAAATTAAGGGAACAATTTGAAAACACATCAGATCTCAATGGGGAATAAAATCCTGCTGTTTATCTCTACTGACATGGTAGACTGGGTGATGTGTTAGGAACAACAGGATGCCACATCAATAGATGGAAATGAAAATTATCAACCTATAGAGGGCTGAATTCAAA